ACCTCGGCTCTATTAAAACCAAAGTTTGCAATATCCTTTCCAACCATCACCATTCCCGCTGAGTGTAGAATTCTTGCGCATAAATTTAAACGAGGTTTCGACGCCAGCAAGTACCGGTTTATTTTATTGCGAGATGCAACATAAGTGAGAGAGTAAGAGAGGAGAAAGGTGGAAACTAGTAGGGCTAAAGTGGAGAGCAGTGACATTCTTTCTGCAACGGCTTTTATTGTGCGCCGCTTTTTCCCTCTTGCACTGCCTTCCTTGTGTTATATCTGACTATACTTAAGTTGTCTGCTCTTAAAATAAAAGAGAGATCTTTTTTTTATTTGAAAGAAATATCCAGCGGAACGTTGCGGCCACATTTAAGTTGAAAAGAATATTTTCAAGGCCATCTCTTATGCCAGAAAACGTCGACAGAATTCGATAATGCATTTAAACAACATGTTCTTTATGGTACAGGGTGGTGTAGATTGGTAATAAATATGTTATCTATTACGCTGCTAATGAGGCTATTTTGAAATTAACAATTGTGTCCCGCCGAGCACGGGTGTCAACCACATTAATACTTTCCAGATAATGTGTCAACATTAACATATTAACACAACCAGAAAAACTGAAGATATTTGTTACAAAACGTTCTGTCGCATTCACCGAACACCATTGTGTTCTATAAGAGAGCGATGACTCTTTCTCTGTTATTGATTCTTCGCAAGCGGACACCGTTGTTCTTACCGAACCTTGGTTATGTAGCGTAGTACGTGACAATATAGTTTTCGAGAGCGATAAATGTGCTGCCTTTTATTGTTGCGGTAGAATGTCGACCTGGCGGCGGTGTGTTAATCGCGGTTGGCGACACTCTTGATTTATGTTTTGTTAACGTTTTCATCACTCTTGAATCCATATGCATTCATCTACGTTTTAGCACTAAACAAGTTATTTTCTTTGACAGCTATCGTTCATAACATCCTGCGGCAGCCTTTTTCACTGAAAAGCACGGAACATTGAATGCCGTTTCCAAATTATTTCCTACAGGCCTTTATATCTTTTATGGATTTCAACCTCCCCTGTGTTGACTTGTATGGTGGATGTTCTAGTATATTTTACCATTCTTCTGTATGTTGAGAGCTTCAAAACAGTTATTGTGATTTTTTTTATAACAGCTTCTTCCAGACCAACCCGCGATACGATATATGTTTAGACGTTGTTGGGCATTATTTCTCGTATTGAACCAGATATCGCCTCTTATTAACCTGTTTTGCTTGTATTAGGGATCAGTGTTTGTGTTACTTGACCTTAAGCCCGTCTATTACTAAAATAATAAAAATATTGTGTATGGTAAAGCTTACAGCTAACTTCAACACCATAAACAGCGATCTGGTAGTTTTCATTATTTTATTTTTCTCAATTTGTCTTTAAAGTTTTGTTTTATTTGTTGACTTCTGATAAACTAATAAAAATACCGATAATAGGATGAACTAAATTAATACAATAAAAAAATCTTGAAACGTTATGGCTATTTATGCCCTTAACACAGCTAGAAATTTGATTAAGACAGAATGAAAAGGAGGACCATGTTAAGTAAAAAAGTAAATTCACTTCTCTTTTCTTTATTCCCATGCTTAAAGCAACAGGGTTTAAAACAGCTTAAAAACAACTTACAATAAAAAAAAAGATTTCTTCGCATTGTGGAATGTATATTGACTCTGCTGATTGCTTCAAAATTTACGAGAGAGCAATACAAATCGTAAGAGTTTTTTTTTTTTTTGCAAAAACATTACTTTTATGGTTGCCATCCACTCTTAAATGGTTTTAAAGTTTTGGTTATTGAAGCAGAAAATAGAGTATTCAAACTTTGTCTTAGATATTACGGTTGTCTCCAAACATGTACCTAGTAAACTGCTGAATGATCTATCTTTGAAATTGCATTCAGTGGATTTTGATTTGGCAGTGCTTTTCACCCAAGTCGTTCTTTTATATATCCACATGTTTCTGATTTTTATGCATTTGTGAAGCTGATTTATGATCTCAATGTTTCTTCACCGAGTTTTATAGATTATAACATTGCTAAATTCATAAAAGAATTAATATGAACAACGCCACTTTTGAGTGCAATATATTTCAGCTGTCTGTACTAAATCGCCGAAATTCAAAAAGCTATAATTGCAAAGTCATTCCACCGCACAAATCAGGCGAGAAACAGGCTCCCTGCAGTTATGGAGCATTTATGTTGACTATATTACTTAATGAAATTCTATGATTAACTTCTATTTTATTTAATAAACCAGGGGATTTCGTGTAATTTCTCTTCTGTGGAGAACAACGCCTCTTTTTTTATTAACTATTGGTTTACAGTCCTTGAGCACATTTACTACGGGGACCGCATTTCTTTCGACTTGTGGAATCTTGTTAAAATTTCAAGCAACCTGCTGCTCTTGAACTTGAACAAACTATAACCTTAACACTAACGCAATAACCCGGGTAAAGTGTTTTCGAACAAACAGCTCTTAGTTCGTAAATCTAAAATATTCATTTTTCGTGTGAGCAGCTTACGTCCGGTCTTCCTCAAAGTTTCATCTTAGGACCTTTGTTATAAATTGATTATATTAACGACACACCTTGTCTGTTTCATCAAGTTTTAAACTATTTGCACATGATTGTGTGATTTATCTAAAAGTACTAATGATTCGAATGTTTTCAAATTTCAAAATTACTTGAAAGGTGCATCTAATCTGTGCTGACACTGGCGCATGCCCCTTCACACGAAAATGGTGAAAAATTATAGATGTATGTTCTAACATATCCCCTTTCACTTAGTTCCACAGTAACATTCCTCTGCATTTTACAAGGTTCTATACCTATATCGGTGTGTACATGACCTATGACCTATCCTTCAAAATCCACATTGAATAGACCCATGCTAAAGCGACTTTCATGCTAGAATACCTACTAACGTTTATTTAGCCCCTGTCTTTCGAAGATATCTATTATCCAGATATCTTGTTCGCTTCTAACTAATTTTTCATGCCTTAATCTAATATTCTGGTCAGACCACACTCACCTCTGTTCTTGAGTCACTTTAAAATCGTAGGTCTTGTTTTAAACTCCACAACTATCACAGTACAACCTGCGTACTATTTATGCAAGCGAAACTTTTTACCTTTACTTTCATTGCGTCGTAAATTTTCTTGTCTGCCTTTTCAACAATATATATATAATACTGATCCTAACCTAAACATTTGAGAGCCCTTCCAGCCCGTGAAGAGGGAAGTCCAGCGAAGGTGGTGCTATAGTGTGATTTGTTTTGTTGGGGTTTAGGTATATTGGGAATTTGCTATGTCATGGTTTGGCGCCGCGGTGACATGCGTGGCGCTTGCGTTTCGCTTCTGTTGATCGAACATCGTCGGTGGCATTGGCCCAGAGGCGCAGGTTGAATTGGCACAGTTGCTCGCGTCAGCGCTCGACGCGGGCGAGGTCTTTGTCAGTAAGGCTTGGCCAGCACTCGCAGTTGTTGTCGGGCTGGGAGCAGCGGCAACGGCGATTTCACGTTGCTGGCGTGCCGATTCTCGCTTCTGGGCGCGCCGGCGCTCCTCGTACTCCCGCTGCTCCTCCTCGGAACGTACAACATGGGTGCGACGGATGTGAAGTCTGTAGTCCAACTGATAAGGACAGTGGCACGATCCCTACGTCACAGACAAAGTCCACGCACGATTCGTGGGTAGAGACAATTATTTTTTTATCATAGCGTGGCTACGTTAATTACGGCGCGGTATTCCGCAATGTCAGGAGGGAGGAAGACGCCGCGCGTGGCGAGGAGCATAGACGATCCGGGAAAAAGGCGGCGGCGGTGGAGAGGGGTATAAAGGGGGCATAAATCGATGCTTTTGAAAATTTGTAGTCTGCGCTCGGTCTGTTGCCGGAGATGATCCACCAATACCAAGTCATAGGCAGCTTCGCTGTAGAAAACGCATCCTCGATCCAACTTACATTTTTTCATAGATTCATAATCAGTTCAAAGTTGGCATTTATCATTTTCAAACATCAACTTACATCGATTGGTTCTTACCCGTAACATCGTCAGAGCGAAACCTTCCTCCCGCATACATTCGTCATATTTGTCTAAAACTGCTGTTAATGATACCTTTTGCGTACGTTTAAATTTATCCGAGGAAAGATTATGGAACTCGGAATAAACCAGTCTTAAGGAAGTGCGTGTCAGCTCATCAACCAAAGCCAATTCGTCTTGTGCGGACAAATCATATTGGTGTTCTGTGTGAACAAGTTCGTGCAGACATTGATATTTTTTTTTTAATATATCCTTAGGAGAAAAAAAAATTTTTGAGTGTAGTCGACAATTCTAAATCAATTAGAGTTACAGTTCATTAAATTTACTCCCACTTAAAATTATTTTTTACTACCTAAGGTGCCGACCATTACAGCACTCATGACTTGCATAATAATTAGTTAGTCTATAGCTCTGCCTCGTACTCCACGCAAAATATTATGAATGTTTATTCGACCAATAAAAAATATATGTTTTTGCTTTTTTAAAAATCGCTAAATGAGTGTGGCGTAAAGTTTTAAAAATCCAGTTTTAGGCCCCTTCAACATGTGCGCTATTCGTGACTCCGACTTCAGCTCCAGGAAGTATCGTCAAGAAACTGAGCCCATTTATATATAATACCTAAAGAGAGTGAATAAAACCCCATTACTTTTTTGCAACAGGTGTAGCAAGATATGTAACAAAGAACCTACCTTCTGGGAGTCCTTACTCACGTTACATGCATGAATATAACGGCACAGTTATTTTTGCAACAACGTTGCAATCCCTGAAACTGCAAAAATGATGTACGAAAAGTAAAATTGTTGTTTTATAAAAAATAAGGTTTGTAAAGCAGCAGATATGACTTTCACTTTTTTTTATTTTGACAAAATTATAAAGTAAACATTTCAAAGACATGGCATATCATACAAACATTTTACTTTGCGGTGTCACCTGCAGCCTAACGTGCCTTTCTCTTGCAGATAGTAGCATACGCTGTCTCATTCCGTTTTTGCCAATCTGTAAGCCAATATTGCAGCCTTTGAGTCATCGTTTCGTCGCAGAACTGTGGGAAGTAAGAACTCAACAAAGTCATTTAAGGATAATAAATCATAAACAATATTGTACGTAATGGTTCAGTTTGGAATATATTACTTTTTATTTTATATCGACAATAGTTATTGCAAACATAGTGCGACGAGACCCACAAGAAGATATTTGTAGTTTAATCTGTTCTAAATAAGGTGTATAAAAGTTTAAGGTTATGATTATTCTTGCACTTAGCGCATTAGTAATTTGATTAAGACAGTGGATGAAGAAAAATTAATTACCTTTCATCACCTGCATTTAAGCCTCGAGAATATTTGAACAACGCCCTCTTTACCACAGGCCCAAACGCTACATCACAACCACCTTTACTCCTACCACAACCGTCACCATTACTTTATTACTTCTCGCACTGCAACTAAACCTACGAACTAATAGGACGAGCTTGTTTATGGTAGTATTTCTAAAAAAAGCGGCACGCCGCTTGACTCCTGAACGTTTTTGAAGGTTACATAGATATGGGAGCAAACGAATATTTATTAAACAAATTAAAAGATGATAAATTTCCATAATCACGTCACATACATGCTAACGTTCAGGTGCGACGTAAGATATATGAACTAGGTAAGTTTTTTTTTTTTTTTGCTGAAAACGCAATAATTACAAGAATCATTCAAAATATCAAACATAATCTCTCTCGCTTTTATTTCTGAATGACACATGTTATTAGTTAAAAAAAAAACTAACGTGCATTCTCTATATACCGGTCGCAATGCACGGATTACTATAATCAATATATTATTACCAATCAAAGGCTAAAGTTTCATTTAAATGTAAAGGTTGCTCAAAATGTGTCGGCATTGAAGAAAAAAAAGGTGCGTGTGTGTATTTGTGGGGGGGGTGTTTGCACGCACGTGAGCGTGTGAGCGTGTGAGTTTGTTTGTGAGCGTGTTAGCGTGCGTGTGTGTGTGTGTGTGCGTGCGTCTGTGTGTGTGTGCGTGCGTGCGTGCGTGCGTGCGTGCGTGCGTGCGCGTGCGCGTGTGCGTGTGCGTGTGTGTGCGTGTGTGTGTGTATGTGTGCATGCGTCTGTGTGTGTGTTTGTGTTTGCGTGTGTGTTTTAACTGACCGCGAACTTTGTCTCAGGCGTCCCGTAAAGCATGGAATGCATTCCTTTAAGGAGCGATGATTTAAAAGTGTTTAAGTAACAGGCGTCTCCAAAATATTTTGTCTAAATGGCCGGATCAGGACTATGTCGCTGTATTGAGGTCCAGAAAGTAAATATGTAAATTTAATACGGAAAAAACTGAATAAGTAATATTAGATAAGGATTTATATAGTAGTAGTAGTAGTAGTATGGCGTTTTGGGGAGGGGGGTTGGGAAGCCGACTGATGTTGGGGCTTACTTAGACGTCCATGTCACAGTCACCATTTATATAAACATTTGAAAGTTATAATAAAGTTTAGGAAGAAAAATATCAGGTGAATGAATACAACCACTTTATTTAGAATCTAATTTTTAGCTAATTATGCCACTACAAAACACGTGTGGCGAAGAAAAATCTTCATGCATAAATCAAAGCGCCTAGGAACTTTCCAGGTTCCGACAGGGCAGAGCATTAATGAGTGTAATAGAACTGAAGCTGACAATCGGCAAAATATGCGACGCGGGGCACTAAGCTCAGTATACATGGAAACGCAAAGTAATTTTAGCATACAATAAGTTACACAGATATAAAACAGGGGATTAAAAATTGTGTTGCTGGTGAAGATAGTGTGAAATTAATACTATGTCTAAAGGACGCGTGTTATGATAGGCGATTTTCTCTCGATTTTTCGGGTATCCTCGTCCACGCGGTTTGTGCGCATTTTGGGAGCGTCCCGCCGTCGTTTTTCACAGGCGCAGATTTGGCGCCGGTAAGAGCAGAACTGCTGGAAACGGGCCGCGGACCCCTCTTCATATAAAGCACCGCGGCCAGTCACGGGGAAGGCTTACGATATATGAAATTTCTCATGAGGTTATGATGTCCTCTGTCAAGGGGACAATGCCCTTGCTATACATAGTGGAGAACTTGACGTCCCCTGTAACAACGGCACGCGACGCAGTCACGATACATCACGATCACTCAGTGTGCGAAATCTCTACTACATTTTTTCCTCAGGGGCAGGGAAACGAGTACGCAACGCGATCTCGGAGAATACCACTCGTTCATGGATGCCGATGCAGTTTTCTATATTTGCAATGCCAATCACAAAGATGTTGCGATTTTTGTGCAAAGTAAAAAGAAAAGTGTGCCGGTTTTTTTTTTTTTAATTAGAGAGAAACTATAATGGGCTTGATCTGCTGTGATGTCCTGACTAAAATCTATTCCCAATCTGAGTGGTGACTGCCCGTTCAATGACGTGAGCTTAGCTTTACACAGAGACGTGCAAGTGAGGTCATAAACTACATATAGTGTCACCATTGTTGTTCATACCAAGCGTGCGGCTATAGATTTTGAATACGACTCTATTAAGGCGGACGCCCTATATATATCATCCTTCAGTCGACCTTTGAAGTCCTTGAGCAAAAATACTTCGGGGACACAAAAAGTACGAAAACACGTCGGCGATACGAAATATACAAAAACGAAAGGTACGAATGAAACGGCGCCATAAGTGCTTCGTCAGAGAGCTCTTGAATGCGGTGGATACTCGCATCATTCTGCGGCAAAATACTCAAGATCCTAGACTCTTGGCCGCTTCGACGGTTCCCCCAAAACAAGTCGTCCAACTTCCTCGCAGTGTTCTCTACATTCGACGCGTGCAATATACCCGATGGTGCTTAGGGGCATCGACAGATGTCTGCAGTCCTCTGCCTTGATTTATCTACTACATGGTGTGTAGATCAAGACCAGAACCATTTCTCCCTGTATGTCGCAAATTGTCCTCGACGATCTCTATCCGTATCGGGTGTCGTCAATACTTTTCGTCGCTTTCGTGAAGAGCAAGGCGTTTCAGGAAAGTCGCAAGCACGACCCATATAAGCGCCATCACTTCATATTGAAAACGGAAGTTCTGGATTTGGGTAGCTGTCATCAGATGGAGAGGTTTCATTATGCTCAAGATCTGTATAGGAAGGCCTATATGACCTTCCAACACTAACTCAATCAAAGGGAGGGTTCCCTACACTAAAGTTTCCTTCCCAAAAGACCCTTTTCTACTGTTTTACATTTTGACTCCGGACAGGGGAGAGCAGAGTCTGTGTTTAATCTCCACGGCAAACGCGAGACTCACGTTTACCTTCACGCAAGATATAAATAAATATATTACCATTCGCTTTATGTCTGAAACGCCTCGCGTTTTGGAAAATTGACAAAGAGAGAGCCGTCAATTTTGCCAGTTGCGATGGAAGAACCGTAATTTTATCCAATGTTCACGAAAAATCAGTGTACGTGTCTCTGGTGTCCCGGCAGGTTCGCGCGCGAAGAGATTGGTCGAGAGACGCCGTCATCCGGTCTTTAAATTATTTCAGGGAAACTGGGTTCTTTTTTTTTTTAGATATGCCCAAAGAACTGCAGAATTAGTTATTTTGACAGTTTCGGAATGATTCCGATAAACGACTTCATTGGAAACGCAGCCAGTTTCTTCTACGCCATGAAAGGAATTCAAGGAACTCTGTTGCACACCTGTGGACTTCACTGCTTATACATTGGTGCGCTCCTGTGTTGCGATATACAACTTCGCGAGTGCATCCACATTTTTTTCTAAACATGTTGCGTCTTCTTAACTACAGCGTGTCAAAAGCCTCAAATGTCCGAAAAGAAGAGTTGAAACGCCGCCATCGTAGATAAAGCGCTTGCTGGCAAACGGTTTCAGTCCTATTTTCAACACAACAACACTCCTGTTTTCTCACAACTTACGAGCGATAGTTTGTTGCGTGTTCTGCTGCAGTGTTTGTTTCTCGAAAATTTGAACGTAGAGCTCGTAAGTTAGCTTACGGGACTCGCATTTTTTTTATCCATTTCGCCCTCAAGCACTACTCCCTAGCATCTACATTGATTCAATAGAGTTTTTGTTCTTAACAGACAAATCCAAGAATGTCATATTTCGGGAATTTGTTTTGAACACTCCCAGTTTCATTTTGTTTGCGTAGGAAAACAAGGAATGATTGGGTGGATAACCAGAAGTATCCAGGTGAGTTTCGGCAAGGGTTGCGGGCTTTGAGTCTACATCGGGGTGGGTGATTTGGAGGAGGAACGAGTCCGTGTCATTACACGCTATGCGAGCGTCGGTGAAAACGCGCCGCACTTCTTTGTAGAAAAATTCGTACATGAGAATGTTGGACATCTCTAGGATAGAGAAACCAGCGAACACGGGTTTGTTCAAGTGCAGGGTTTTTTGAAAAAACTGAAAAATGACCACAGTCGGGCTGATGGTCACAGACAGTTTGAGGTTAGTCTTCTGCAGGTTTTTCAACACTTCTCCCTCGCAACACGCTAATTACAACGCTAATGTACTAACGTGAAATTTCGCTTGTCTAGCGATAAATTGAATTCATAATGAGCTGAGATAAGGTATTTTGAAAAGCATGTGTCGCCTGTTTTCGCAGGTTGTGGTGCAAGTCGATGAAATCTTTTAGGAATCCACTCTGCGAAAACTTCAAAACACGATGAATGACCTTTATTTTTAGAATTAACTTCACATATAGCTTGAGAATTCGGTAATTAATGACGTAATTGCGTTACGGGTGTAAGGTTAGAAGCAGCTTTCGTTCAGACTCTCGCTGGCTAGTCGGATTGTTTGAACAGGAAGGTTTTGAAAGGTTGATAGCCATTCGAGTGAGAATCCTCGTGTCAGTGGGAGCCAGGGGAACGTCCGCTTGCGAATCGTGTAGTTCCTGAGAGTAGTCGAGGTCCATCTCTGAAATGTAACCCTCGGGCGCGTCATCGGGAACCTGATGGAATTGGAAAGCGTTGATTTCCTCGCGGTCAAGCCAGCGAAAATAGGTGCATGAAAGGAGTTGGCGCATTATAGAAGCCT